GTGGGGTCAGGGTGGGGAAGGAGCTCGTTAGAAACATACATGGAAGAGAGGGGCTTGGTGGAGAGTTTAACGTTAATATTGAGCCCAGTCATGAAGGATTGTCATAAATATGGCAGCCTGCGCCAGGCTCTCACGGTCAGTGGACACGAACAATGGTCTGGAGAGGGAAGATCAGCGGGATTTTAAGGAACCCTGCCTTTCCCTAGTCTTCCTCGTTCTCACAAAATGACTGCCTGGGCTGGGTTACGAGCATAGAACATCAAGATTCGAGCCTATCGGTTTCGGAATTCACTATGGGTTGCTCTGTATGAATTGTTCTACAGAGAAAACGTTGGTACACATGGCCGAATATGTTGTTCCTTTTACTAGGCGACGAGAAAATTGATTTAATTTTCAACTCTCGACGTCCAAAAAAGGATCAAATAGGCGAACTGATAGTTGTCACATACCTCTTTATTACCATTCATGGAAGTTATAAAATGCCCCTGACCGCCATAATAGGTGGATGTATATTTATCAAAAGGACCCCGCCGATTTTGATCTGCAGCTTTGTTGATTATTTCTCGAAGAGAAGTGCCATTGGCGACTTTGGTGGAGTAGGAAGATGGGATTGACTTTTTAATCACGTCCGTATTCCAGTCCATTCCAATGGTAACTGTGATTGCAGAGAGTGGTACCTAATTAATTGGAAAAAAAAATAGTTATATTACATCTGCTGTCCCCCCCTCCCAGTTCCCTCTTTCTGTCTGTCCTCTCTCTGAAAACAGGAATGACCATGATTCCTGTAAGGTAGTAAAATACCTTTTCCTAAGCGTGTCCCATATCTATATTTGCTAATTTTTAGCACCTCACATTTGGGAATTATTGGTAGTAAAAGGGATGTAGCGACGGCGAGGTTCCCGACAGGAAATGGTTCACACTTTTATCTGTCCGTGAAAGAAATGGATACGTTCAACATTAAATGAATACACTTGAACCTCGTTTAAAAGAATTAGACGAGAACCATTCTCGTCCCCAGAACCACTCGGCCTCACTTACCGTTACAAATTTCTTCGAACACGTGACCGACAGAAACGAGGACTCTAGGGACGGGAATAAACGTGAGCGAGTTCACCACATGACGTCGAGGGCTCTGCTATCTTCATGCAAAAGTATTGCGAAATAATAAAAATCGATTTTTAGACTGTTGATCCATAAAAAAAGAAGCCAAACAAACGAGTAAGTCAGCGACGGCAAACTAGCATGCGACCAGGCCCTTAGTGCAGTACTTGCGTTTCTCCGCCCGCGGGAAGATTTGAGTCGATTCGGGAAGGTTTGCTGGAGAACTGGTACTAATCGGCACCCTCGTTCCCATGGCCTTTGCCTTACCCCCAAGTAAGGGAAAAGACCATTGGAACGAGGTTCACTAATTAGTGCTTAACCCCTGCAAACCTCTCGCGGGCTCGCATTTCTCAGGGTCTTATACTTTCCCGCGAAGAATCACTCACAGACTAAACCGCTGACTATGAGAGCCTGCTCAGTCTACAGCAAACTTGTATTCTTCTTTTTTTTTTCAGGATAGTTCACTGATAAGCTTTCCTTTACGCGCACTCGTGCAAATTTACTGGACTCGCGTTCAAAATAAGCAACCATGGCTAATGCACAGCTTACAAACCTGACTAGAGGTAGAGTGGCCACTACAATATCCATTTGCGCTTTTATTATTATTCGGGTAGGGGTCTGCCGTAAACCGGAATAGAATCGTGGAGCCGTTGTAGGGGACATAAGAGTCTCCTCCACAGGGAAAAGCCACCAAGCTGTCTCCATCAAATTTGGACCAGTAGGAACTTGTGCCTTGATTTTGTCCCGTTCCATTTATAGTAGTAATCAGATACCCCAGCCCGCCATAGTAGGTGTTCTTGTAATAGTTAAAGGGGCTCTGCTTATCTTCGCCTGCTGCTTTGTTCATGATGTCCTGTACAACAGTACCGTTGGGGACCTTTGTGGTGTAACTTGGTGGGATCGGTTTACCAAGAGCGGTGACATTCCAATCGAGCTTTAGGGTCACTGTAATCTGTAAGAAATGGGCCAATCTGAGGAAAGTGCTAGGCTTGGTTGTCAGTAAAAAAAAAAAAGCTGAGAAAGTTTTGAGAAGGATAAGATAATAGGAACGTTGTTAAACGACAAAAAATGTATTTCTTCGTCCGGCATTATACTCTCGACACAGCAGTCCACACGCTCCATGCTCAAAGCTTCACGCGCGTTTCACGAAGGACACGCACAACTTATGCTTAAGGAAGTTGTCACGCATCAGTTTTTAAAACACAGTGAAAATACTTATTCTGATTTACCCACTTTTATTTCAAAGGAACCACGAAGCAAGAGACGAAGGCCTCGGCTTTTCATGAGGAAAAACAACAATAATAGAATTTAAAAGTATGGTATCCCTTTTAGTCCTTATGTACTCGAGTAACCGCCCCTGATTATGCGACCTTCAAAGAGGAGGAAGGGTGGGACGACAAAAGAGCGGAAAGTGCGTTCGCAAAGAACTAGGGGAGAAGTTTTTAAGCGGCGAATCTTCAAAACGAAAAAGGTTACATAGTTCATTGGAAAGGTGTTAACTGCAGGATCATTTTAAAGTATGGAAGCCTTCCATAAGTTTCGCTGAATCAGCTTACCTCAGATGCAGCTTCCCTTCTTTCCCGTAAATGGGCTGCAATAACAAAAATGCATTTCATCGTTTTCTATTATATTCCTTTTTTTAATCAAATTTCATTTTGACAACAAAGACACTGAAAAACTAAAAATTCATTTTACACGTCTGATATCACCATCTTTTAGTTCATGTCCTTTATCGAGTACTATTTGTTTACAGACATGATTGTGTAACTTTTTTTTTTAACGCTTAAAAGCAGCGTCAAATACACTACACATCGGGTGCCGGGTCGCTGAGGAATTCGAGTGCGAATGTGTGAGAATTGTTTCGAAGACAAAATTCAGTCCACAGGAGCGAGGATATTCACGAAAATTATTCATTCTTACAACATGCCAAAAGAGGCAAGGCGTCATGTAGTGCGCGCGTAGTCTCCCTCGCAGCTGTTTTTTGGATGTCACGCAACGCTAAAAGGCTGCGAGGGAGACTAGTGCGCGCGTGACCTGGATAGAATTATTTTCCGGTGCAGTGCAGCTGACATTAGTTACGTACCGACATCAGGTTAGCCCGATCTTATGAGCCTAGCATCTTGTAGGCTCTGATAGCGCGACTTAATTTGACCTCTGTACATATTTCGTCGCGGAAACTGTTCATATGAAAGGTTTCGGCCCGAAATCCAAGGAGGATGACCTTTGAGTTGTCATCCCGACAACCGTGTGAAGTGTCTTCAAAAAATTCCGCCCTGTTCCGAACTGAGATCTCGCTTACAAACCGAGAACTTTATATCACCAGGTTGAGCCACCTTCTAAAATAAACACACTAAATTTCTTCCAAACGGTAAGATCTCGAATACCGAGCCCGAAGCGTTACCTTGGGCCTTTTGTTTAATAGGCCCTCGGTTTCCGGCAAAATAACTTTAAAAGTGATGCAACAGATAAATAATGAACTCTTAGAGAGAAGAAATTCGATTTGTTTAGTGACGATTCACTGAAGGGCTAGTAGCCAGCAGACGACCGCACGCTCCTGTCAAAATAAATACGAAAGAGAGTTTTCAGTAACGCTCAGCGTGTAACTTGGCTAAACTTCAGAATACCCGGCCACTCATTTACATGTCATTGAATAAGAAGCATCTATTGTGTTATGCTTCATTCTTCAAAGCCTCCCGACACATGTAAATGTGTGGACGGGTATTCTGAAGTTGCTCCTGTAACTTTTAAAAAGCAAACAGGTATTTGGTGCTCGACGAGCATGTAAATTTCAGTGAAAACCCAAGCACGTGTTCGCGTTACCATCGAACCGAAACACGCGCGAACGACTATGTGCAAAATTTGATCGGAAAAAATTCGTTAAAGAAAGAGGAAAGTACGTAAGGCATAGGAATAGAAAAATCGGAAAAGGGGAGAATAAATGAAAAACTTTGGTGTAGCTGAATAAGCGTTCGTCGTACACGCAAAGTGAACATGTGAAATATTACATAACTTGTGTATTCATCTCACCAGTAATTCAAGCTGGAGTCGAGTCAAACACGGTTAAACTATAACAACTTCTTTCACGCAAGCATAATAGCTCGAAAGCTCATTTACCTTGACTGGTGCTGGAAACTGCACAGAATAAAAACAAACTAAAGGAGGCAATGATTGACGTCTTCATCTTCGGGGTTTCCAAAACAAGTTCACGCGAATGGATTTGAGGAATGTCTAATGATGCGCCCGCAATATTTTACATACAATTATTGGTCCCAGGGGTTTACCCAGGTCTGGGGTTTACCAATCAAATTTTAAGTACAAAGTTATAAGGATTGAGGAAAAGAAGTAAGGGGCTGACCATTTAACCTTTGAGGGGGGGTGGTGGGTGATTTTGAAAAAAAAATTTTCTGCAAGCGCTTGTTGGAAGAAAAAAATTGCATGCAGCCCAAATGTAAAAGAAAAAAAAGGAGAATTTAGAACGGAAAAAATATCCTGCCCAGCAGATTGCTAGAAAAAAAATTCCTTGATGACCAGAAATCACCCACCCCCCCTCAAAAGTTAAATGGTCGGTCCCTAAAAATAGTAGCGAAAAAAAATTAACCAGGCTTAAGAACACAAAACAGCGACTTTTTTTGTGATCTCCGCCAAATTTGAGGTCTTATTGGAAATTTATTTTCTTTTGTTTTGTTTTAATTTTCCAAAGCGCGTTAGCGCATAAGAAATAAATTGATTGAAACTGCATGGTTAAATTTTTACCCGTGATTTTTGGAAAACAGAATGAAAGTAAACGATTTACTTTAAAAGACCATGCAGACTCACTTGATATACGCAATTTTCAGTGTTTTTCTATTTTTACGTGACATACTCAGCTTGCGTGCAGACAAGTTGAGGAATACCTGGAAAGGGGTTAGTTTCTGAATAAACTGTGTCACTGCATTGGCGGGGGTATTACAAGATAATTCGGTCTTATCAACGTAGCTAATAATTTTGCCACCGTAAAGACCTGCTTTTAGAAAAGCTGGCGTTTCGACCGTTGGTCCTTTGTCAGAGCGGTTGCCGAAGGGCAAACGCTCGAAACGTCAGCAATCAATGAAGGACGACGTCCCCTTTTGCCGTTGCACTGTCAATGTTATGTTTCGGCGGAGAAACAGCTTTCTGCGATTTACAGGTCTAAAACAGAGGAGGTCAAGGGTAGGAAATATCACAGCCTTAGCTCTTAACTAGCCTGTTGAAAACGTGAAAAATTAAGCAGTACCACGTTTGCTGGACTCCTCCGGCTGCTGGAGACAGTATTCAAGACAAGTCACAAATTTGATGTTAACGTGTTTAATAATCGCATGATTCACAAGGTCTTCGCACAATCACGGTCAATCTAACTCTCTTGTTCAATAGATTCGAATGGTGGGCGGGCTCTTAATAATAAGCACGTGCTTCCGTTGTCACGGGTTACACAATTACGTAATATGTGCCCCAGTCCCCGACACCACGCTTCCTAATTAATCACGGTTTAATGGCTTGATTTTACGATTCCGAGTGTTGCAAAGCTTCGGTTAACAGCTTCTCGTTAATTCGAGTAAAAGGACATTAAAACGTTGCATAACAGACACGAAAACAACGTCATATATGGGAGAAAAACACGTTTCGCATACATTTTGTTTGGTTAAGTAATAGACAAACGAAGTTACTTATAATGTCAATCAAATACAATTCACATATCCCGGCGTGGCCGGGATATGTGAATTTCACTCAAGTTATTTTTAGAGTTACAATTAAACGAAAGTCTAATTCCTGGGACGTCCGCACATCCTAATTGAAGCGCGCCAGCCCTTGTTTTTATAAAAATATGCATTGTAATGGCGTGTAGTGAATATTCAACATGACCTAGTATTCGACCGCGATTTACAGGCGTCTGGATTTCGGCATAAATATACCGGTTGAGTCTATTGAAGGGCCTGGTGAGTGCGTTCCACAAAAAGAAGTTGCAGAAAGCGGTCCTACTTGTAAGCGCAAGATAAGCGAGGTTTTGTCTTCCGAAGAAGACTCTAATTCTGTTTCCTTCGGCGGGAAAGCCGTGAGAAGAAGTACGCGTCTCGCGGTTAAAGCTTTAAAAGGTCTTCTTGAAAAGAAACAGAAGAAAGCCAAGGAATTATCCCAAGAGCAGTATCTTCGGGAACTCAGGACCTCCAAAGAAGTGCAGATATTAAAAAAGCTGGAGGAAGAAGTCTATCAACTTGACGCTTCGCTGCACTGTGAAATGGAAGCGATATCCGGCCATCACCAAAGTGCAGCTCTCAGCGTCTATCCTCGCAAGGAGAGGACCT